GCTTTAGTCGGTTTTATTTTTGATTTTAAATTCCCTGAAGGCAGAACACTCCCTCACTGCCGGCACTGGGCAGGTCGCTCCCATTGTTCCCTCCTTGACGCACCACTGTTTCATAGTTAAGCTAGTTAAAGTTGGTTTGTTAATTTAATCGTGAGTGCATTCAGGTTTTCCGAAGGAAGCACTGGGAATCCATATTTTTTTGAATGACCAAACCTGAAATTCCTTGTGCAATAAAAAATGATTGCCCAATAACTTATATTTCTGTGCACTTCAATTGTCCTCAATTGAAGAAACCCAGTAAGAAAAGAATTAGAAAAGAGGCATGAGGCTTGAAAGTGCAAACTCCTGGAGGGTCCAGATGGATGTAGTCTGTGAGTGAGGACAGCAGGGAAGAAAGCTGTAGAAATGGAAAGAAATGTCTCGCCGGAAGTGGCCAGATGGCGCGGGGAGTAGCCAATGTATCCTTCCTCCTCTAACTGTATCCTGACGGGACGCCGCCGGCCGCTGTTACCCAGATCTGGCAATGTTTTCATGAGGGGCCAACAATCTGATGTCCACGGAGGATCTCCTGATTTTTAAATGATGGAAATTGATCCTCAGTTTAGAAAACACTGCAGTGCAAACAAAACATGACCGCAGCTGCCGTACGCCCGCAGGCTACCGAATTCCTGATGAAAAATACAAGTAGCGGTTGAACCAGTTACAGAGGTCGAGAAAATATGCTTTATTCTCCGATCCTTTTCCTTTTCTCAAATGTCACATTTTAGAAAAATCCAGATGCACTTACATCATTTCCATAATCTGTAGTTTAACAAGAAAAGCGGCATAATTAAATAGTTGGGAGTGGTCTGAACTCCCAGATCCCTTCTTTCGCTTGAGTCAGAGCCAAGGATGGTGTCACCCAGATGCCTGTTGACGAAGTGATGTGAACCAGATTTATTTAACCACTGGCAAACCACATTTTTTTCAAGGGCAATAAGTTAAAAGATTATTTTCCGCCCTTGGATACAAAAAGAGGAAATACTTCTTCCAAGACTCAGGGTAGCTGCGGCCAGTTCTCCCAGAGAAATTATTAACCACAGAGATTCACAGCACAGAGCCCCAAGACCTTGCCCACGAGCCTCCCTGCAGCTGCACAGCACAGACACCTTCTGAGAGGTGAGTGTTCGTTTAGCCCTCCAAAATTTCAGGCGCTGAGCATCTGACACTGGTAGTTAAGAAAATCAATCATCTAAATCCTTACACATAAATCTCACTTGATTTGGTATTTGCCATATTAAAAGATACGGTTTTTTCCAAGGTAACAATAGAGGCTGTCCCTCCTCCACCCCCCATTTCCACAGGTGATTAGACCTTTGTATATCATAATTAAAAAGCTATATGCTGATCATGGCTGAATTTTTTTAGAATTGATGGGTTACTCTCATAATTAAAAAGAAATTAAATGTAGCGAAAAATAATACAACAAAAAGGGATTACTCTGTGACCCTGAACTAAGTCCTATACACTTAAAACAAATACAATGCTGGTTTTCATAGGGTTGTGCTTTCTGATCTGTATCCACGGATGGCATCAGACTGAAGCACTGTTTGAAATTCAGGAGCAGGGAGCCGGCAGAGGTGGGGAGGGAGGATAACTGAGTGATTATTTACAGGCATTTTCTATCTAGCTAGTTACTAAATTCTGTTAATGCTAATCAGTATTCAGCAGACTGTCTTGATTTTCGCTGCATATAATACTATAATTAACAAATAAAAAATGGTTAGTACCCCCCACCCCCAAAGAAAAAACAGCTATATACTAAATTCTCTAACAGATTTACTGAGTATCCTCAAGGCTCAGTTCCTGCCGGGGCCACACAGCATTTAATGCAAGAATTTGGAAAAGGCTTTGTCCTCTGTGGCCATTAAGAATTCTCTGGTTTAAGTGGCATGGAAGCTGCCCTGAATGGGCAGGCTGGCATGGCTCCTCTATGTGACCTCTCAGAGACACTGAGTCAGCAACTGTGAGTCTCTGCATGGTTCCAAGCCTAACTGTTCAACCCAGCAAAGGCCCCCAGGTCTAACCTCTGACTCTGCCTACCCTGAAGAAACTGGCCACAGAGGGACATTTACACAGGGAGACTGTCATCTCCCTGTATGACCAGAGGGAAAAAACTCAAAAGAGATGAAGTCTTTCCCTTTGTCACAAATTAGCTTCTTTAAAAAGAAAATGTCCATCTGTATCCTATTATCTCTTTCAGTGGTTATGTTCTGGGCCTATTTTCCTTGCCCCCCCCCCTTTTTTTTACAAACAATAACAAAAAGATTAGAAATGATCATTAACAAAACCCAAATGGCCTAATTGTATTCTCCCAAATGTCTGTTTCTGAAATTTCTATCATCTGAGTATTCAGGTGTTTGGGGCAAGTTATGCTATTTTAACATCAAACAAGAAAGGAAAAGAATAAAGATCTTCTGGATCATACCAAAGATGGGAGGCCAAGTTGCTGACGCCAGTTATTTCTGGTGAGAGTGCAGTAGGGAGAGGGATCATCTTAAAATCGCCTGATCCATTCTATTAGAGCTTCACTTGATTAATACAAAGCTCCTCTCTTAAAATGGAATCTCTTCAAAAGAGCCATTTTCTAACAGTAAAATTTCGAGCAGCAGTGGAGAAAAGCTATTCTTAGAGAAAGAAAATCCTGTTCCCCAAAACAACATGATAAAGGCACTGTGTATCTTCTCCTCTGAGCCCAGCTGGCCCTCCAGCCCTGCTTGCACACACATGCCCCTCTGGAAAGGCCTCTTGCAACCAACAGGCTTCAGAGAGCTTGCAGTGGTTTAGAAAGCGCTGGAACTGTCCTGAAAGCCTTGTATTGGCAAAGGTCATTCCTGCCCCTTCCTCCTAGTCACTCAGTTGTGGGACTACTGCTTCCCATAGAGAGACAGTCTAATGATTAAGGGTCTTTCGAGCATGGTGTTTCGAGTCAGAATGCAGGGGACTGAACTCTAACTGCAACCTATGGGAGAGGCTCTCTTAACAGACCTGACTCCCCAGCTTAACCAATGCAGGTTAGGTTATCCCTCGTACATCCGAGCACCCCAGCTTCAGCTACTTTTGAATACAGGATCAACCATAAGGCAAGCCTCAGGGTGCGGACTGGGAGCTCCTCAAACACACAGCAAACTGCAGACTATAGGGCTGATTAGGAGAGAGGTTTTATTTACTGTCTTTGATTTGAGGGGACCAATTTCAAAGCTAAGTAAGCCTATGTTACAACTCTGTTGTTTTAGGTGGTAGCTAAAACACAAAAATAAAAATGCTGACACTTCCTGGGGTTGCAGCGTGGACTGTGTTTGAACTGTGCTTGGCACACAGTAAATGCTTGCGAAATGTCATTTTTCTTGTCTTCTTTCTTTGTCCTTTGCTACTCAGTGCTTCGCGTCCCACTACTAAAAAATAAACCCCAAACCAAAATAACCAAAACTTCCTGAAGTTCTCCTCAGAATGTCTTTTGTGGATGAAATTGTGCTTTTGTGTGATTACAGAAGACAGCATGTAAGCTGATGCCAAGAGGCGGGAACTGGTGACTGGATATAATCTCCAGCAGAGAACTTACTACTATCTCCTTCAAGGACCACATCCACACTCAGATAATACCAACAAAACATATGCCAAGATTATTAATCGTGGTTATATCTATAGAATCAAGGGACTAGGGGCAAACATGGGAGAGTGTACATCTTTATGGGGCCGAAGGAATATTTGTAGTTTGAAACAGCGTACCCTACCCTCTCCACCCCCAATCCTCACCCCTGACAGTATGGATTTTCTAGACTTCATTTTCTAGGGAAAGAAAATAATTTTCCCTCTACCTTTCATTGTTCCTCACTAATTCCCCCTCCTCTCTCTCCTCAGTAAAAAAAAAAAAAAAAAAGATTAACAAGAGAAAAAAATGTTTATGTACATGCAGGTGCCCCACAAAGATACGAGACTCAAAAGGTGGCCATAAGATTGAAGATTATATTCCATCCTGAGCTAAGGAAAGGGGTGAGGTTTGGGGTTTAAAGGTGGGGGAAGGCAATTCACAGGAAGGTGAAAAGAAGAAATGTTTGGTAAACAAAGGTGGCTGGGTCAAGCAGATAAGTCTCTCAGGGGAAAAAGTGATCTCTGGTAATAGCTGTCTTCCTGATACAGGCCCCTTTACTAATGTAAATGTCCTTTTATAAGTGTAAGTTCCCTCATAGATAACACCTCCTCTGTTAGAGCTTCTGCAAGGTGCCTGCAGTTCTTCAAAATAAACAACTCAGAATAATTCTTACTCTCCAAAGAGGCATATTCTGCTAACCCTCCAGCATTCGCAGCCCGTCAAATACAAATTGTGCGTTTTTCTGGCAGCTCATCTAACAGTGTTCAATCAGCCGGCCTAACAATGTGTCATGACCTAATAATGTTCAGTTTCTCACATCACGTGGTCAAGCTGATGTTAGACCTTATGAAAATCAAGTTAGCTCTGCAGAGGGAAAGCTAACCACACCGAGGCTGGCTTACTGTCAGCCTCCATGTTTCCCATCCCCTGAATTTCTGAATTCTGAGTCCCGCTTCAGGTACACAGATGTGCCCTCATCTGCCAGGGCCACAGATGAAATGAGAGATAAAAATCAAACCTTTAATTTCCTCCAAGCTTGGAAACTTTTCTCTCAACCCACCTAAGTAAAGAAATAAAAAATAAAACACATAACTTAACTAGTATGTAATTCTGATTCTTCCCTATCAGAAATACACTGAAACCCAGGAAATAAAACCTCTCTGCTAATAAGCCCTATAGTTTGCGGCTCCTTTGACATTTTAGGGTTCTTTTTGTTCTATGGTTGGAATGAAGTTTAACTTGACTTTTCACAAGCAAAAGCCACCCAAACACAGGCGGGACTGGTACCTCCCTCTCCCTGGTTTTCAGCCTGCAGCGTTGAAGCCAACAGCAATAATTTCCATTCAAAAAACAAACCTCAGTTACACATGTGTACACGCTGAGCAAAAGAATTAATTTCTGCAGTATGTTCATTGCTTACTTTTCTCCTGGAATGCATGATGAATTTCTATGGAGGGTAGTGGAGGAAGGGAAGAACCACATTCAAGTGAAACCCAACATCATTCTCCTCTGCAGTGTCATTTCAAAAGCCAGATAAAAGCCAAATGAGGAGGCTGGGAAAAGAGTGAACAACGTAGCTGTTCTGAAAACCACCCTCCATTTCATTCTGGAGCAGGGAGGTTACACCCAGACATCACAAAAGCTTCTCTCTTCACGGAAAATTAACTGGTAAGTGCTGTCTTGTTTATTTTCCTCAAACTGACACGTTTGCAGCTGACCTGATGGGGATTCCTGCAGATTCATTTACAAAGCTGTTTTTGGACTAACTACTAGCTGGCAAAGAAAGAGAAAGGACTCCTGATAGTTTATGGAAAGCTCTCTGTGCAGATTCATATTTTCGGTCCTGTCAAAAGTGTGTAGGAAGAGCAGAACTGGGTTTGCTACAGCTGTGATTAAATCTAAAACACTGAAAGAGAGAACAGAAGGAGGTTGCTAGGGTAGGTGGGGCGGGAGAGCACAGTGAAGAACTTTCAGTCATTTTCTAGGCTTTTACCTAGCAAATTACAGCTCCAAAATGTAGTCGTGATTCAGAAATGTCAAACATCATTTGTGGAAAGCCTACTGTAGAGAAATCTAGTGGGAGGAAATGGTACTCTGAGATGAAAATTGATTTTGCCCTCCTTAGATTACAAGGTAGGAAAAAAAGTTCTAAATTGAGTTGTAATGTGGTTTGATTTTCTCGTCTCTTTTTAAGATGAATAGCTTTGTGCTTCTTCAGGACAAACATTTCTTTGTTGTTGCATTTTTGAAATCTCATAATCAATTGCCTTTTAGAGTAATTGGTATCTGGGCTCATCTAATGAAGGACAAATGGCTAATTGAAGGGAAGGATGTGGGAGAAAATGTTCAGCTAACTTGATTGTTCCTTTGGTAGCCAGATAACTGTAGGCACCAGTTGTTTTATTGTGTGTCATAGTTTGTCCTTTCCTCCAAAGGAAAGCTAATAAAAAACAAACAAAAATTTTATAACTGAGCTTTCACCAGCAATTATTCTCTTAAATTGGACCTTTTCACTTAAAACAAATTCATTCGCCCAAGCTTCCACAAATGTGTTGCTAAATTAATCCACTAGTATTTTTTGTTTTGTTTATGAAGAAGCCAAGGGACTTTCTCTAATTTCAAATTGCCTAATTCAAGCAGTTCCTCTTTCTGAGTAAATTCTCATCATGTTTGCACATCTTCCAGACACTGAATTATTTTTAAGTTTTTTCATGGCCTTTATTTATGATTTTACCTAAGACTTAAGTCCTTTATTTTATAAAAGAAAGTCATACATTTTCTGTGTTACTTTACCACTAATTGTCACCTCCCCGAGATAGATTTTAACCCAACATTCCTCTTTCAAAAGCTATGGCAATTGAAGCAAATCCACGGAAGTAATTTTAAAAGGAGAAAAACTTTATGCTCAAAGATTTTTTTCTGGGTTGCTTATAATTTAAAAAAATCCGAAGCAATCTAAAATATCTTACAGTAGAAAGCTAGTTAAGAAACTTCTTATATATTATCTCAATGAAATATTTTGCAGTAATTATTAAATCATAATTTGGAAGGTTATGTTGCATCATGGATGAGTGTTCATATTAAAATATTAATAATGATTATGCTTATGTAAAAAGTAAATGCAGTTGAAAAACATTGAAGACAAATGGCAAAATTCAGCTACAAAATTAAAAATAGTTGTGTTAAGCTGATGGCGAACTTTGGTGTGCTAATTGGGAACCGATGGTTTGTCAGGGAGGAAAAACTTTTCCTCTACCCTCTTAAGTTCAGTTTCTGAGGGCCTGCGAGTAAAACTGACAAATGACAGATTTTCAAGAGATAACACAAAATTTAATCATGTATTTTTACATACATAGGGGAGTTCACACAAAGATGTGACTCAAAGGGATGGCTAGAATTTTGGGGCCTATATACCATCTTAAGGGGAAGAAAAGAGGGAAAACTTACAGGAAAACAAGTGACTTCTCAATAAGGGAAGGGGAGAGGGAGAAAGGGCACCTGTGGGAAAACAAATGACTTCTTAGGTAAGTGGGCCTTTGGGAGAATAGACGGACAATATAATAATTTTTGTGACAACGTCTGTTTAGGTCTGCTGTGGATACTTCTCAACTCTGGTGATAAGAGACAACCTTTTCTTGTTGTTCCTGGGGAGGAGATTTATGACAATTGAGTTCTTTTGAGTTCTTAGGGGGCCTCAAATGCCTTCTGCTCAAAATAATTTTTATGCCACAGTGGCATAGGCTGGACCCATTCAGGTGATATATCCCTTCTTTTTCCCCAAACTTTCTCTAATAGTCCATTACATGTATAATTTTAAAACTTTGTAATATTGAAAATTCTCATCTATTTTTTTCTTCAGGTCTCAATTTTCATATAAACCACAAAAAGTTAAATTCTTCAATCTGGTAGGGGCTTTTTAGTTCTAATTCACTTGGTTTCTTTGGTGACATTAACTTTAGTAATTTGGTAATTAAATTTAGTAATTAACTTCTCTGCCTCATAAAACTTCTAATGAAACTAGTAAAAGCCAAGACCACAATAAAAACTGATAATATAAAAATTTTAAAGATGGAAAAAACATAACTAGCTAAATCAAGAGTACCAACACAGCAGTCTCTTAAATTGGACAATTTCCAAACATGCCTCAAATCTACGGTTGCACAATATCTTTATACTTGCTATTTTTATTTTGTCTGTCACCCAAGACTTTAATCCCAACTCTGCCTCAAACTTATTTCATAGCTTGAGGCAGAGAAAACTTTCTGGATCTCAGGTTCCTTTCCTCTTGAATAAATCTGATTGGCTAGGGTCCTTCTAGCACTCCAGTCTTCCCACTCTTCCTTTTTTTTAAACAACCTTTCCTTATTAAGTCATTGTTCCGTGTGATGTATGTAATGGGTCCCTAGGACATATACTGGGTACTGAATAAATTGTTGCTGAGACAAATCTTTTATTCAGATTCTATTTTTTCATATTCTTCAATTATCATAGTATGTTCTGATTATTTTATTGATGCTCAAATAAGATGAAAAATGCCCTTCATTGTTTTTAAAAAAAATGATATCAGAAGGAACAAAGTAAACATGAGTCAGGCACAAACTTTTTGCTAGAAATTATGCAGTCCTTCGTTCAGCCTAATGAGTATTATTGGCCAGATGATTAATTAGAGGATGGAAGGGCAAGGGTTAAAATGGGGCCTGGCTTTGCCTCTGGAAGTTTCTCTTTGTGAAGCATACTGATCCAGGGAAGAGCCAACCGGCCAACCTCAATCTCATTGGCCCCTTGTTCAGCAAACACAATCAACTAGCCCTTGTGAATGTGAGTGTGCCAAATGCTGCACACAGCAATTCTTTGCAGGACGAGTGCAAATAAAGATTTGACCTGTGATAAAGGAATTGATCACATCAAATTAGTAAGGTATGTTCGGGTTTTCTGGATGGCTTAAATTTTGTTTTGTTTTGTTTTACTCTGTTTCAAGCAAAGGAAGATGGGAGGTAGAAAGTTTGGTTACTTGTTTGGAAATTGGCTATTTCCTATTCTGGGGGAGGGAAGGGAGTTGTTTGTTTATCATTAACTAAGAGAAGGTAACTATACATGTCATATTCAGTCAAGCAAATTTTTTTTTTCAGTCAAGCAAATACTGACTGACCTTTCAGCTGGTTTGGTGGGAGAAGACATGGATTTTAATGGAAGGTTCTTGCCCTTAGTAAACTTAGAGTTGTGCTGCCTGGGAGACAGAATTAAATTACTAAATGAAAAGAGTATAAAAAGTGTGTAGTACCTACAAGATACAGAGTTCAGAAAAGGAAGGGATGGATGTGGATGGGAGTACCCAAGTTAACAGCTCATGGAGGACGTGAGACAGTGGGAGAGGTGAGCCTGGTGTCCCATCATGAGTCAAAGTGAGAGGACAAGATTTGAACTTGACTGAGCAACTGATGGGGTGTACCCACCTGAAGTTCTTGTTGGCCTGAGGAGGCTTATGGGAGAACTTGCTAGGAGGGAGGAGCCCAGAACAGCCTTTGACCTTTGAGAGGAGAAGTGGGTGTAAGAGCAGCATGCAATTAAAAATGCTGAGATGCTTCCACTAAAACATCAGGGCACAAGCAGCCCTCTGACAACAACAAAAAATACATATATATAATGGAAGAGAATTCTCCAGTCCACTACACTAACTTCACCCCAGAGCTCTACCCAGCTTTGACAAGGCAGGTAGCCCAGCACTCTGGCAGCACACCTGGTAGAGTCTTGGTGCCCAAGAGGAACAAACTTGTATACAAACACATGTAATTCACCTGGAAGCCCTGGAAATACTTTTCTGTGAACTCTTCTCAAGTATGATCTCTTTATTGGGCAAACATAGTGGATATTGCATCAGCCTATGGAGACAACCCAGTGAATCCTGATTTAAAACTCTAAGTACTACCTCATTTGTGCCCACTATCAACTGGGGAAATTTTCAGGTTACAATAAAAGTATATAGCACTTTACATTTTTCATTGTGCTATTTTTGACCACACTGTGACCTCCATTCTCTAGGAAATCCACACCTAATTAAATTCTGCAATAAAGGTTCTCACTTAAGTCCTGAAAGCCTGTAATACCAGAGTTGCTGACCTACATACAGTATTTCAGAATTTTACCAAGCCGGATAATACAGGTGCACTTAAAGCCAGGCTAACCCAACTAAAACCGGGACATTCCCAAGTGGACTCTGCTTGGGATATAGTTTTTAAATTGAAGACTGAAGCACAGTAGAAAGAGAATTCAGGCTTACCAGTGGGTTAGGTGAACTTTCTTAGAACACCAAAGGCAGGAGATCTTGTTGGTATTGTGAACAAAAATGCAACCACTAGATGACAATGTTCAAAGCGTGGTGAAGTAATTCATTTCATAAAGTTTAACATATAAAGAATTCAATAAGGAGAGGTCAGTCTTCTCTCCTTATTGAATCACGCAGAAGCAAAGCTTATCATGTGTGCTTACAAAGGCCTCATGGGTTACTCTTCAAAGTTATAATTTTGTGTTTCTTTCTCAAAGTTTTTTTTATTTTTATTGAAGTATAGTTGATTTACAATGTTGTGTTAGTTTCTGGTATATAGCATAGTGATTCAGTTTTTTATATATATATATTTATATTTATATTTTTATTTATTTATTTATTTGTT